ATAGACGAATTTACTCCAGCGTTAAAATCTGAGGTATAAATCTAATTCACTCTCTACAATAGTGCAAAACGCGTCTAAACAAGTTTTCACATCAAAAAAATATGCAGTGAAAATATTTTATCAGACAACTGTTATATATTTCGATGTTCTTTACTTTCACTTACGTGCCTATGTAATATATAGTAAGTGTAAGTATTGCGATCGTGAACATTTTTGAATCTGAGTTTTCAATGGAAATACATGTTTTGAGGTCCCCTGCGTCCAAATAACCAAGTCCCGAAAAATGGTCTATGCGTATGCGAACACTAGTTCGAAACCGAAAATTCTTACGAAACTGATATTACATATTTAAGATAGATATATACCTTAGATGTTCTGGCAACTTTTTCCTTAAAATAGGCTAACCGGAAGTGCCACTTTATATCAACGCTGAAACATTTTTTTCAAAAACGGCTCTAACGATTTTGATTAAACTCGGTGTATCATTGCATAATTAAGTGGTCTTTAATATCATTTAGGTCTTATCCCCATTGATGTCACTTTACAGTGCTTAAATGCCCAATGTTCATTTTCCTCTTCCTCAAAAATACCTTTAATATGGTTTATTTTAAATAATTAACTATCTTTCATTATTAAGAGTTAAGAAAAAATGCTAAATATAACTTTTGAAAGAATTCTCCGCAAATACTAGTCAGAAAATATACATATAATAAATACATCCTTGGAAAGCGGAGAATTTTAGAAAAAAACAATATCTAATATAGAAAGTTGTAGAAGTTAACGGAGAGTGGCAAAAAATACAAATAATAATTTTTGAAAACTAATAATAATTAACGTAAATCGTATGTTTCCAAGGAAATTAAGGAAATTTATTAACTAAATGTAAACATTAAAAAATATTTTTAAGTTTTAAAAAAATATTTAAAATCCATTTAATCAAGGCAATGACATTGGTTAAAAAACTATTTTATTGTACTTGTGTGAAAGAAGAAGTAAAATATAAAATCATTTCATGGGTGTATAAAATATGTTTATAACTTTCAATATATTTACTGTAGTTTAATAACTAGATCTGATATTATATTTAAATATTTAGATATCTATCATCGTTTATTCCGAGAAATCATTATGTAACCTTTTAGAAAATTAAATTAATGAATAGTTTGATGAAATTTCATTTTGTGATATTCCAACAGTATCCACTTACAATTAGTGTGATAACTTTTGAACAGTCTATGATAGGCAATGCAAATCTCTTAATTACGTTTTAGTAAACTTTAAAATGGAAAATAGCAGTTTAATAACTAACAGTCTTACAACCCATAATCAATGGATCTTACAATCCGTAATCAACTGGTGATATAATAAAAATTATTTTTGTTATTATTAATGGTGTTTATGATTTGTTAGCCCAACATTTCTAAAATTACTAAATTCTAAAATTTACTTTCTATTCAAAGTTGAGCGGTAAGTGAAAGTTATGTGTTGCGCGCACCAGATTAAAAAAAAAATATTTTGTAGGGAATTTAGTAAGCTTTCAAATACTCATATGTATAATGTATCAAAAATTGCATACTTTTTGAGTCATTCGCAAATTATGAATTAATTTGTAACATCTCTATTCGTTGAGATAGCACCATCATATGGTTTGAAATCACCCACTTTTACATTCAATTTTATTTAAGTCCTGGTATAAAATTAGTGCATGATATTCCCTTTCTATTGATACTTCATTCATCAAAATCCATCACTCCTGAGAGCTGGAAAAGGAATATCTATTTGAAAAATAATATATAAGAAGATTGTACTTCATTGTCACACTCAAGAATAACAGCATTATAAATTCCATTAACCAACACTACTTCATTGTGAAAATTTAACTTAAAATAGGCAGTAATTTATTTAACAACAAATATTGATGAAATACAAATTATAAAGCTGCACTTAAAACCTAAACTGCCATAATAAGAATAAATATTCATGGATTTATATATATTTTTTAGATAATTTAAATTGATGTATCATTATATTTTAGATGAATTTGTTAAATTTTAGTTCTGAAGATGGGATATTTACAGAATAGCTTTAAAAAACAAAATTTAACAATATATTAATATTTAACTGACAAATATAATAAATTTTGAGGCCTGATTGTCATATTCTTAATTTACAAGTATGTTCTTCCCAAAAACTAAAATAAAAATAAATATCTCTATTAACTAATAAATACATGTTTACCCATGTTATAACAGACCCATGTCAGTTATAAAAAGTTAAATTTAAAAAATCTTAAAATGGGTCCTAAGACAGTTACCTTTGACATTTATTATTTTATTTGTAATTTACACCTGTTATTGGCCTGTTCATGTAAAAATAATCGTAATATTAAAATATTTATGGATCACTTTAAATTGCCAAAACAAAATTATGATTGTAATTCTAATAAACCTTCCAAACAAAACTTCTAGTTTGAAAAACAGTATTTAAAATCCACTGAATCAAGCCAATGACATTGTTTGAAAAACCATTTCATTGTACTTATGTGAAAGAAGAAGTGAAATATATAAATATTTCATAGATGTGTACAACATAGGGTTATAACCTTAAATACATTTACTGTAGTTTAATAACTCAAGGTCAGATATAATATATCAGGTATACATCATTGATTTATTCCAAAAAAATTTCCATTTGTGAAATCACAATGTTATACACTTACATTCGTGAAATCACAATGTTATAAACTTACATTTAGTGCGAGAACTTTTGACCTATCGATGCTATGTCTGATTTAAGATTTACTGGATAAAATTGTATCTAAAATAAATTTACTGTTTTACAATTTTTGGTTTATCCATAAGTTAAAGAGGTTAATTTATAAAACTTTTGATAGTATAAATTTCAATATGATTTAGGTAGTATGAGAAGTAAATTGAACATCACTGTTTTTTCTTTATTCTGTTAATGATAGATCATTTTTGGGGGAACCATCATTGAAGGATGTATTACTTATAAACTTTTAAATAATTTAGATGGGATGAATCTATGCCAACAAGGTTAATTTATATGTAATTGGGAAATTATTTTTCCAAATATCATAAATTAAATGAAAAAAAAAAAAAATGATCAAGCCGCAGTCCAAAAATTAATGACATTTTAAACATCTTTTTGACACACAAACACCTTTCTTTCAAATTTGAAGTTTTTAAGACCGACAGGAGCAATAATATGAAATAAACAACCTTTCCTTGAAATCGTTCACCATTCCTCCGTTCAATAACAGGACCTGTTCCTCCGTGAAAAACTCACCTATAACTCCTATAATTATTGTGCATTCTTCCAACTAAATTTTATCTCCTTATTTTTTTCCCAAACTAAACAAAGAAACTAATTATTTTATTTTAGAGCAGCATGGTACCCATCCTGATGATTTTTCAAAATGAAGTGCATGAATCATACAGTACACATTTTCTGAATAAAATATGGTGAAACGGTCTCTTACCAGAGAAAAAAATTTTTCACGAATGTAATACTTTCCCTTACTATATATTACATATATAGGTAAGTGAAAGTAAAAATATAACAAAACATCATTAAATACTGAGAATAATCTTACTGGTAGCACCTGCTGAAAATCAAGATTTTTTTTTCATTTTTAGAAGTTAAAGAGAAGTTTTGATGAGCTTAAGACATAAATGTTAACACTGCAGGACTGAAACTGTATTAAGAACAATACTACTGATAAAAACGGGAAGTTAATTATGGGGCATTGTTACCTTAGAAATTGTTTTCATAACAAGAACTGAATTGAACAACGTTATGCATTTATTATACAACAACCAACCAAGGTTATATGTAGTAGATCTACCAATAAAGAATAATGAAAAATAAAATGAAACATGAGAAGAAGACATGCTCCACACTATTAGGATCTTCAGATAGAAAGTATAAGCTACCAGTTCTCCTGAGAGATGTTTGAGTAATTTGAATTTTGCAAACATAGTCACTAACGACAACCCTAAATCAGACACATAAAATTAAATGACTTAATACTCCACTTAGTTTTTCTTGTAATGAAGGAAGTAATCAATTACTTATTTGTCTGTCTTGGGGTTAGTGTTATAGTTCAGAAGATATTACAAATGTGGAAATATTCCTTATAAAATATGCTCAATGTTGTAAGCGATGTACAACAACAGCAATCTACATAAACAAAAATAGGTTTTAGAGTAATTTAAAACTGACTGTACAATAGAGCAACTAGAAAAAGTAGTTGGAGATATAAATTTTTAAAGCGATGTAGAAGTGAACTCACTAAATCAAAAAGAATAGAAAAAGTTTAAGAAAAAATAAATTTCCAAAGCACCTGCAATGTACACATCCATAAGGAAATTTTAGCCTCATTTCAGTTGATGGGAAAATATTGATGCTAATGTAGGTATAGATAGATTTACAATAGAGTCTGTTTGTTTGTCTCCCAAATATATTTTGTTTATATGGAATGATGTTATCGTTGTAGTCTTTTGTTCACCACTTTTAATAATGCATAGAAAATTGGATTATTATTAAGTACCTACTATGTAATAAATAACAATAAGAATTGTATAGGACCCTATGTATATATATATTTACCTATTACTAAAATTTATTTAATTTAAATGTTACAATTTTAAAATGTTGATTGAAAACAAAAAGGATCTGCCTTTTAACTGATACAAAAGAGTTTATAATATTAAATTTCAGGTGACACTTGTTCAGTAGTATCAAAATTAATTATTATATTCAGTGATTGATATTAATATCAAAGGAAATAATGAAAGATATTGTAGAGTGTAGGGAAATAAAAAACCAAATAATCCAGATTCCACTATTGATGTGTATGCATTTACAACTTTAATTAAAATTATTGATAAAAATGGTCACTTTAAATTATAGGGGGAATAATTAAAAAACCATCTTAATAAATAATGTAATTAATAACATACAAGAAAAAAACACATATTTATAATATATTACAAGTACAATCCATCACTTTTAGAATACAAAATAAACATATTACTACTGTAATATATCTTCAATAGTATTAATAAAATGTGATAGCTCTGAGAGATTCATTTCAAAGTTTAGGGAGGATGTTTTGGCAATATAAGATTCTTTTAGTGACATCTCCTCACTCATATGAATTAGAATGTTAACCACAGGTAGTTTAGTGACACTTATGGCACTACTGCCAACAACAAACTAAAACAACAGTATTCCTTTAATTGAAGCAGAGTTTTTAAAATATGATAATGATGGTACACCAAGACATTGTATCACACCTTTTATAAAATAAAGGTACAAATCAAATTTTATGAAAAACAATAAACTCGCTAAAAATAAAAATTGGTCAACTTTAGTTTTAATGCATTTTAAACAACGAAATGGAAAAAGGTTGGCTACAGAATTCGAATGATATAATCAACAATTCGATAAAAAATCTTAAAATAACGAATTCCAAACTATATTTTTGAGATGTACCTTCATTCCAGGAGTGATGAATGCATCCCATTTTAATGTTATTTGATTAACAAATACCTCAAACTTCCAATCGAAATCAATTAATTTCGAATCAGTCATCTTAACGGCAATTCTGATGCTAATTAATTAGCTGTATGTTTTCAAAATAGAAAACTTGGAGTACATTGTTTCATCTATCGACTTAGGAAACAAAGAGTTCATACAATACATAACTGGCTGAATATAAAGTTTTATGATTTCTTTCCCATTTGCTAATATAATCTTGGTTCATGAATTCTTTTTAAAAATGCTTTAATTTATTCAAAACAGCAAAAAATGAATAGTTTACCTTAAATCATTTTAAAACCAGTGCAGACCTCAGATGTTCTGCGCCCCCGGGCTGTCAGTCACCTTTCCAAAAAAAATGTATTTATTTATCAAGCAGTTTTATATTAAGTAATATTTGATTTGTGTTTGATTCAACATGTCTCAAATTCATTTACTTGGTTGATAGAATAAAATTAGTTATTCTCATTCGCTTTGTAATTCATTTTTAACTCTTAATGTAATGAGTGCCACCCACTACTGGCGTCTGACTGCATACGCTCCAGGACGTATGCCGAGTTGCCCTGCCTATGGCCGACTTTGGGTAATGCTTATATATTTTACTATTAACATCTAACTTCTTTGGAAATTTTTCTGAATGACTTATTAACTAAAGGTATTAACCCAAAGACTCGCGCGGGCACATTACCGCGTAGGGGAGCGTCCCACGAGTGGCGGATGTGAGGATGGTCGATAGAAATTCGTAAGAAGTTCTTCCCGGCTATGTCCGATGGACTTGCTGCCCAACAATGAGGATGAGCCCTCCAGACTTGCTGGAGGGTATGATGTAGGATTAAAAGCTCTACTGACATATCTTTAGTTCACCATACACCACAAATAGTCATGGATCTCGCTAAGGTAAAACGCCCATTATCTGGAGGTAAGATAGTCCCCCATTCGGGTCTCCGGGTGGGTACTGCTTTAGAGGATTCGTGGCGCAAGTTGAAAAATAGGGATTTAACTATTTGTACGTGGAACGTAAGGAGTTTGAATTCAACGGGTGGGCTAAAATCGGTCGCGAACGAGGTTAATCGGTACGATTGTGAATTCGTGGCTCTGCCAAGAGGTTCGCTGGCCAAGCTTGGCTTGAATATAAATTAATCTAAGACGAAGTATATAAGGACGTCTAGGGCTCAAGTAGGTCAGGAATAATAAGTGCAAATTAATAGACACAAATTCAATCGCTGCAAGAGCTTCAAATAGTTACCGAGATCTCTAGTAACCGAAGAAAATGATACAAATGGTAATGATGTAGAGATGGTTGACCGTTGATATGATATGAGAAGGAGATACAAATGGTAGGTCAAAGGCAGAACAGCAGCCGTAGGAGATACATTTTCGCGCTTAAAATGCTGCTTAAATTTCAAATATTGTCTCGAAAGACAAAAATTACCACATACAAGATAATAAGACCTGAGGTGACATATAGAAGTGAGTCCTGGATGATGATAAAGGAGAGTGAGACGATCGTGGAGGTTTGGGAGAGAAATATGCTCCAAAGAATATTTGGTCTAGTAAACAAGGATGGTCATTGGAAAATAAGGAAAAATAGAGAGCTCGAACAGCTCTTTGGTGAGCCTAATATTGTGTCATTAATCAAATAAGGAAGGTTGCGATGGCTGGGTCATGTTCAATGGATGCCGGATGAGAATAATAAAAAAGAATACCAAATACCAAAAAAGATTATGAATGGCAGGCCAGGCACTAGCAAGAAGACCAAGTTGGTTGGATGACGTAGACGATGATTTAGGAGTAAAAGGATGGCGAAGGAAGGCGGAACGTAGGCAGGAATGACTATCAATTTTAATTGAGGCCAAAGTCCAACTAGGGCTGTAACGCCATTAAATTAGTTAGTTCAGTTCGACTATTAATCAAATATTTTTTTTATGGCAAACATTAGAGTAGAACGGCGTTGTTCAACTGCTGTATATAGATTTTAAAAAGTCTTACGATTCTATTGACTGCCAGAAACTGTACAATATTTGAAACGAGGGGATTACAAAAAAATCCCTTAGTAAATCTAGATAGAATGTGCTTGACGGAAACACTCAATAAGTAATTATTTTTTCGAAATTTTTGAAGTTCATTCGGATTTAAAACAAGATATTTGATTCCCTTTCACTATCCTGTTTAATTTAACATTAACACATGCCATTAGGGTGGTAATGCGGCCGAAAAAAAGGTTGGATCTGGGTGGGACAGCACTCGTGCTCTCCAGAAGTCCCTGTCCTTAGCCTTTTCTCTCCAGTTTGAAACTCTTGACCGCCTGAGGTCGTCCTCCACATCCTCCAACCACCTTCTTATCGGCCTTCCTCTTCCTCTGACACCATAAATTCTTCCTTTGAGCATCTTTTTTATGATTCTTTCATCTGGCATTCTAAGAACGTGCCCCAACCATTCGATTCGCCTAATTTTAACAGATATTGTCAAAATCTGAGAAAGATTACTGTAAATGGCGCTGCTGCTTGAAAATGGGTTCTCTAAGAAAAAAAAAACTCAGAATACTTTCCGATTCCGATCATAATCAAATTCCAATCAAATCGGAGACCAAATAATAATTACATTCCTTCATTAAAACGTTCCCGACAGCAGCTATTTTAATAAAAGAACAACACATTATAATGAAAAATATACAAATTATTATTCTGACCAGTTTTATGATTCGCATAGGTTCTTCAAGGAGATTATAGTTGCTGGGTTGTAATGCGTTCAGATCTATTGAAACTGAGTAAAAACTGGATTCGGAAGAAAACCCTTATTTTCTTGTACTCGAATAAAAGGTGGTTCGAAAGAATAAATGAAGTTTTTTTAAAAAATAAATTTTCCTCCATCATGTTTTTCACCTGCGAGACTCAGTTCGGAGTAAATAGGAACAAACTGCGAAAGGAGCAAAAGCCTTCCCATCTCAGGGCGGCCCAAAAACTACATCACTCTTTTCTATTAATAGATGTTTTTCTGTTTTTTTTTCGGAATTATTTTTCTAACATCGAGAGGGGGACGTGACCCCTGAAAGAAATCACTAGTGCTGGTCATGATAATAACTTTCTTTTTATATTACATTAGAAAATTCGTCTATGAGGATGAATTTTCCCTATAATTCTCATTTCTTTAAATAGGTGTTATTTGGAGTTATTTTCATCATCCAAGGGAGGGCGCGCCCTATGGCAGATTTCACTAGTGCTGGTCACGATAATATTTTTTTCATTAGGAAATTCGTGTAGGAGGTTGAATTTTCCTATATTTCTCTTTTCTTTAAATAGGTGTTTTTGTCACTTTTTTCAGATTTTCTTTTTCCACCATACAAGGGAGGGTGTGGCCCCTGGCAGAATTCTCTAATACTGGTCACGATAATAATTTTTTTTATGTTATATTAGGAAATCCATGAATTCATAAATCTATGAGGATTTATCTTTTCTTTAAATAGCTGTTTCTTGAAATTTTTTCCAGCCTCCATGGGGGGAAGGGCGCCCCCCGGTTGGATCCACTATTGCTTCTCATTTGTATTTCCGGAGATTCATTTTGGACCTGTATAAGCATTTTAATTTTTTTCTCCTTTATTCAATTATCAAATTCTTTCAAAAGTTATATTTAGCAATTTTTCGTATCTTTTAATAATAAAAGATAGTTGATTATTTAAAATAAACCATATTAAGGGTACTTTGGAGGAAGACGCATATGAACATTGGGCATTTAAGCCCAGTAAAGTGACATCAACGGAGATAAAACCCAAATGATATTAAAGACCACTTAATTATACAATGATACACCGAGTTTAATCAAAATCGATAGAGCCGTTTTTAAGAAAATTGTAAAAATATGTTTCAGCGTTGATATAAAGTGGCACTTCCGGGTAGCCGATTTTAAGGGAAAAGTTGCCAGGACATCTAAGGCATATATCGATCTTAAATATGTAATATCAGTTTCGTACGACTTTTCGGTTTCGAGGTAGAGTATTCACATATACACAGAAACACCGACCATTTTTCAGGACTTGGTTATATGGAGTCAGATTCAATAATTTTCACGATCGAAATACTTACATTTACCATACAAGTAAGTGAAAGTAAAAATGGCTAGCGTTGACTCAGAGGACTTCGTGTCACCAGAGCATACAGGATAATTTCGCATGTAGCGGTGCACGTCCTTGCTGAAGTAGTACCTCTCGACCTCTTCCTGTTAGAAGAAGTGACGAAATATTTTTATAAGAGGAAAGATACAAAGTACTTTCGGACAATCTGCAGGTCAGAATTGTGGATGAGCCTAATGGATAGAAGAAGATAATCCGGAAGGACAAGATTAAAGCATGGAACGAGCGGTGGGTAGCTATCCCTAATATAAAGGAATAACTTTCCTATGGTACAGTCAAGACTACAAAGATCCTCTATACCCAATTTGTAGTGTTCTAGAAACTGTAGAGCACGTGGTCGCGACCTGCACCGCATTTGAAACCTTAAGAGCGACTATGACCAGAGATACGAGAATCTATGTCTCCACTGAAAAGGAGTTTCCACAGTTAGTCAATGAGGACAATTACGTTTAAGGAATTCATAAATAGATAGAGTGGTGGGACCCGCTGAAAAAGAGGACATACATGCACCGGTAAGACCTCCAGATTCAAGAAGCTAGTCCGAATCCGATAAACAATATAGAAGAAGATAGAACAGAACTGCTAGCTGTGTGCACAACCTTGGTCATGTTAACTAGTAGTAATGTGTTATTAAGCATTCATGCCTAATAACACATTATTGTAAACACCCATATTGAAGGCTGGAATATATAAATAAATGTCATATATGGCTACTAATTTTTTTATTTATTTTTTCCTACCCCCCAGGAATTTCTTTATTACAAAATACAATATATAAATGTAAAGAATTATATATACATCATTTTTTAATTTCCTTTTATTGCCCAAGCGCATTTTAAGGTAAAAGGGCTATGCACGCTGTATGCGTACTTTGCATCTGTGGCCAGGGGATATATGGCTACTAATGATATTGATTATAATTATCTAATGTATTGTGCCTTTAATATTCTCGAGAAACAAAACGATATTATATCTACTATATTTTAAACTAACCCTCGCGCGGGCTCATTGCCGTGTAGGGGAGCGTCCCACAGTTGGCGGATGTGGGGATGGTTGGTGGAAATTATTCACGTCTAGGTTCAATGGACTCTCTGGTCAACAATGAAAGAGGCCCTCCAGACTTGCTGAAGGGTGTGACGTAGGATTGAATGCCCTACTCACATATTTATAGTTCACTAAATACCAAACAATCATAGTTTCTCATAAAGTAAAACTTTCATTATCCTGAAGAAAACTACTCCTCCGTTCGGGTCTCCGGGTAGGGACTGCTTTAGGGGATTCATGGCGCAAGTTTAAAACTAGAGATTTAGGTATAGCGACGTGGAACGTAAGGAATTTGAATAAAGCAGGTGCGTTAAACTCGGTCGCAAATGAGGTTAATGTGTACAATTTAGATATCGTGGCATTGCAAGAGGTTCGTTGGCCAGGGGAGGAATCTATAAGGGAAGGGAAGTACACTTTTTGGTACAAAGGAAGCGGAAATAATTGTTCAGGTACCTGTTTTCTTATTAGGAATAGATTTCTATCCGCTTTGAGAGACGTACAATTCTTTAGCGATAGGATTTCGGTGGCCGCGAAGCTGCAAGAAAATAATTTTAGAAGACGCTAACGCAAAGGTGGAAAGGGAAGAAGTTTATTTTCTGACGATAGGTAAAGAAAGTTTGCACGAATATAGTAATGATAATGGAATTCAACTAATAAACTTTACCATCTCGAAACACCTGATAATTAAAAGTACTATGTAAAGTAAACATAAGGATATTGACAAATATACTTCGACATCACCGGATTTGCAAACACAAAATCAAATCTATCACCTATTGAAACAACATAAGTGGCAAACTAGTATAATTAAGGTAAGTTCATATCGCGGAGCAGAATGTGGGTCAGATCATGAATTAGTAATCGTGAAACTTCGACAAAAACTTAATATAAAAAAGAGTAAAAAAAATCGTTTCGATTCCGAGAATTTTAATTTGAAAAAAATAAAAAATCCATCAATTAGAACTCAATTTGAGCTTGAAGTTAAGAGTAGGTTTGAAGCTTTAGAACCTTCTAAAGAGGACTGAGATGATATAGATAAGTTATGGGTAGGGATCAGGGATAATATTAAAGAAGCAGGTAACTTGTGTCTTGGAAAAAGGAAAATAAAAATATCAAACCGTGGTTTGATGAACATTGCTTAAACATGTACAAAAGAAAAGCCACTAAAATAAAAGCCCTAAATAATCCTAGCGAAAACAATCTTGAATATTACCGGGCCTTAAAGAATGAAACTACTAAATTGTTCAAAAATAAAAAAAGGGAGTATCTTAAAGATAAAATGTAAGAGGCATGTACAAAGATATAAATAAATCACGTAAATGTTTAGGACCCGTGACGACTGCAATTATGGATAAAAATAACAATATCTTCACTGACTCTGCAGAAATATTGAATAAGTTTAAGAAACACTTTGACAATATTTTAAATATGGGAAATAATGATCTGTGTCCTCCTTCAGAGAACCAGAGTGGCGAATCGTTCATGGAAGAACTAAATAAAGACGAAGTTGAAATAGCTATCGGAAAACGAAAATCTTAAAAACAGCGGGGACCGATGATATTCCTAATGAACTAATTAAGGCATGCGGGGAAGCTGGAATTTATAAAATACATTTTTTTGTTAAAAAGATATGAAAAATGAGAAATTACCTGAAGAATGGAAAGAATCCATTCTTAATTTGATTCACAAAAAGGGCCGGAGGACGGATTGTAATAACTATCGAGGCATTTCACTCCTTCCGGTTTGTTATAAAATATTCACGTTAATCTTAATTAATGGAATCACGGCATATGCTGAGGAAATTATCAGAGACTACCAAGGTGGGTTTAGGAGGAACCGTTCAACTATTAATCAAATATTTTCTTTATGACAAATATTGGAGAAAAAATTAGAGTACAATGGTGTTGTTCACCAGCTGTATATTGATTTCAAAAAGGCTTACAATTCTACTGACTGCCAGAAACGTTCGTTCAGGCTTAAAACAAGGTGATTCTCTTTCAGCTGTGCTATTTAATTTTGCTATTAAAATTTAATTCTGGATCCTTTACTGATCACTTGTAAACTATTACTGAAGTATAATTATATTTATAGTAGATAAAATCAACTTTATCTGCTTGAAAACCGGTGTAAATTAAATCTATGGAAGAAATACCATTGAGTACTGCTTTACCTCATGCTAATCAATCTTATTTCATTTTAGTTATTTGTCTTTTCATTATTATGGCAGCTCATCAGCTGATTGCCAATTACTGCAATTGGCTGGTGCAGATTGGTTAATCAAAATGAAAAACACTAACACAGATCTTTAAAATGAATCGAAAGCAGAATGTCTCTCACTGAAATCAGGGATGGTGCAATCCTCAGGAGAACACATTTACCACTAAAAATAGTTTTATTCAATGAGCAAGATTTTCAAAAAATATTTTTCTTTATTACAAAAGTTTAACATTCAATATTTATCTATTACAGAAGATTCAAGACATACCTGGCAACATAGGGATTAAATGGAATGGGTAGTTATTTTGTTCACATCTTATAAGGACTGTGTTTCAACTGTTAAAATACTAGTGATATATACAACTTGCAAATTTTTACATGAGCAGTAAAAATTTAAATAAAAAATACTGTTAAATTCAGGGCAAAAAGGAAATTTTTTTTTAAAGATAAAATACAAAAAATAATGGAATGATATAAATTGTAACTAATAACAAGCTCGCTATTATTTATATTATAGGACATTGAGATACCAGGTGGACACTCCAACATTGTATTACTTTAATAATAGGTTTTGACTTATTATAAGTCTTAATTTTAGTTTATTCTAATGAAATAAAAACATTATATTATTTCGTCTGAATTATATATTACTATTATCTATTATTTATAAATAATAGAAATCACAGTCACAGAATTTTACAGTTATGTACATGTTCTATATTACATACACGAAATTCTATTAATACAATATTCCTTATTCATTAAAGTCCATTTTAATTAATATTAATACTAAATAAACTCAAACCCTTCATATTTTATGTCATCTATTTTTGTTTCATTGAGAAGTACTATTCCATGAATAGTAAAAGCAGTTATATATGTAGCAATGCGACCATGAAATTCTTCTGTTTTTAAAGCTACAATAACTTCATCATTTGTACCAGGGATAAATTTAAAACTGGAGAAACCATGAGTTGGTAGCACTTCACCAATGTGTATCACCTATAAAAGTAAGGATAATTGTGAATAATATAATAAGTAAATTAATAATCATGGATTAAGTATATATTTTAATTAAAGGTATGATTTGCATTAGGCAGAAATGAGTAAAGAATGTCCACCATACCCTGGTGACCTATGTTCTCTATTAAAAAACCTAATCAAATCATAGACATGCTTCAAATTAAACACTATTACCACCATTTACCTCAATGCATCAAGTGTGGAGAAAATCAAATCAGAGGAATTCAACAAGAACAGGCAAACAACTGCAGTGAGCCTTATAAAACTTAAAAATCAAGTACTTCCTTTGAACTCTCATCTGTTAGTTTAAAATGTCATCCTTGCTGTTTTTCTTTTTTTTATCACATATTCTAATTCTTAGGTAACTCTAATTCACATAACTGCTATGTACCTCTTCTTTCCAAACTTCTACTGATGTACATCCTTCTTTATCCTTACATCAATAATATCCTATTAACTTGCCACATTAACTCCCAATTCCATCTGCATTTTTTGATGAATTCCTAGATTATTACCTCAATTATTGTTATCATATTATTACCATACCAGAAACCTGGTGAAAACTAAATGTTTTTTTCTCCTCTATATCCATTCATAACTATGTCCTCATTTGTCATAAGCGAACGGATCGAGCAGGTGAAGATGTTGGTCTTTTTCAATGTTCATGAAAGTCCAAGGGGAAAAATCCTTCACGAGTCTCCATCAACCTCATGTAGAATATTTATTAGTAGAAATTTCCTCAAATTCATTCTCTATGTATTTTTATACTCCCCAACTCATGTCTAATTTAACCCTGCATTAGAGTCCTCCCCTTTTATCCACATTTCTTTATGCAATAATAGCCTGTAACTTTGATACCAACTTTACTTTCAACTACTCAACAAATCATACCTTGTAGACCTAATCCACTCATCACACTCAGTTCTCAAGTATATAGGCTCAACCTCTTTTCAATAGATTCCTCTTAAAACTTATTATCTTACTCTCAGTATCTTTCCTTTTATATCATGAACTAATCAAGATTACTAACATGGCAACCCCTAAATTAATTCTTAAATCAATTTCTTGGAAGTAAATTTCCTACTTATTAACCTTTGAAAAACTAAATCCTTTTATTGATTCGCTATCCCAATCGTAAATACTTCTCTATTTCTATTCCTCTATTTTTTTCTTCCAAAAAAAAAAAGAATGGTATATCAGGCCTTAATATTTAAAGAATGGGGATGTAAAAATCTAAATATCAATAAAAATTATCGATATTTCGGACCTTGATGTTCTTAATCTTTAAAAGGGGAACAGAGTTAACATTAACTATTAGATTTGGGTTTTCTTTGATTAAACTATATTTCAGTTTTTAAAAAAATAATGTTTTAACTAAACATTATACTGGTTTAGTAAAAAATATTTTTTTACTTTCAAAGGTATTTAAATTGCCTAAAAAACAAAAGAAGCACTATTAGTAGAGATATCGCGATTTTTACTTTCACTTACGTATATATGTAATATATAGTATGTGTAAGTATTGCGATCGAGAAAATTTTTGAATCGAATTTTTGAATGGTTTTATCCTTTGTTTCGGTTTTTGAATTTTGAATGTGTTAATAAGGTAATGCTAATTTTTTTAAAATGTATTTAAAATCCACCTAAGAAAGTTGATGGCATTGTTAAAAAACCTATTTCAGTGTACTTGTGTGAAAGAAGAAATAAAATATAAAATCATTTCATGGATGTATAAATCATGTGTTTATAATATTAAATACATTTACTGTAGTTTAGTAATTATTTATTAAATTTTAAATTGGTCCATAATCGTCTTTTCTTTTTGGCTACATTTAAGGAATTGCTGTGTTATATATGTGTGCGGTGTTATATTGCGTTCCTGGCGTTTGAGAATTTAAAGAGAAAAAAGGGGTTTTTATTTATTTTGGGAAAGTGTTTATTATGCTACGTCTATTGTTTAATATGGTTTATTGTTGATAATTTGTAAGAGTATTGTTATGAAGGGGGAGAAAAAAAAAAAGAAAAATATAATATAAAATTAATGTCCGTATGGATTGATAAGTATGCTGTGTACGAAGCAACCCTATGTAGTAGGGCAGCATTATTTTTAATAAAGTATTTCTCTATAAATAATTAGGTATTAAAGTTAATTCCAAAATATTGTCATATAACTTTTTAGAAAACTAAATTAGTGAATAATTCGATAGATCTTCTCTTTGTGATATTCCACTACCATTTCATTGTACTTGTGTGAAAAAAGAAGTGAAATACAAAAATATTTTATAGATACGTTTATAACCCTAAATATATTTACTGTAGTTTAATAACTCTAGATCTCATAATATATTTAAATATTTAGATATCTATCGTCCGTTTATTCCGAATAATCATCATGTAACCTTTTAGAAAATTAAATTAGTGAATAGTTTGATAGTTTTTCTTTTTGCGATATTCCAACAGAATCCACTTACAATTAGTGTGACAACTTTTGACCTGTCTATGATAGACACTGCAAATATCTTAATTCCGTTTTAATAAACTTTGCAATGGAAAATAACAGTTTAATGACTTATAGTCGTACAATCCATAATCAATGGATCGAACAATCCATAATCAACGAATCGTACAATCCATAATCAACCGGTGACATAATAAATAGGACTTTTGTTATTTTAATAGCATTTGTGTTTTTTTTAGCTTTAGCTCAGTTTAAAACGCAATTTAAAACATTTTATAATAGCCTAACATGGCCAGAAAATAATTTTTATTCAAAGTTCAAAGAGTAAGTGAAAGTTGTGTGTTGCGTGCACCAGATTTTTTTATTAAACGTTATATTGGTTTACTAAACAGCAATGTGTTTACAAGCAGATATATTGTTATAATATAAAAAAATAAGTAAATGCAAGTAGTTTCTTTCTAATTATGTATATTAATAATAATAATAATGATACATTTTTTATATTAAGACACATTTACAACTAGAGACAAAAATGAATTTTGCATTTTTTACAAACATGTGAATAATTATAATTTTTTTTCTGATCTTCTATAATTTTATTTGTTGACGAACTAAAAATAAAAAAAAAATTATGGAGTATCAGAAAAAAAAAACGTCTGCCAAGTAAAGTCAGTACAGCTTCCTCGCCCTTTTCAATGGCTAAAATATATTATCTATATTACAAGGTATATAATTTTTCGTATGAGAATAAAATCCATGGGAGAAGCCAATTTGGAAATACAGTTACCCTTCAACATTCGCGGGTTTGCTATCCACAAATTTTGTTTATAAGCTAATATTAAAATGCGTAAAAGTGCCGTATTTGAAGATTCGATATTTGATGATTCTTAATTTAAAAAAAAAAATACCAATGCATACTATACATACATACCACTACTGTCAGGGCAAAAAGTCGTATGTAAAAATTGATTGCTTTACAAGAGAGGAGTAAAACTAATTATTCCTTTATGCTTTATTAGTATAATTTCATATTTTATTGTCATCTGCTATTTTCCACAGTAGCAGACTACTTATATCAGTTGCAGACTACAAAATGTCACCTTTAGCACAAATAGAATAAAAATTGAAAATTTTTACATACGACCTTTTGCGCTATTAGATATTAAGTGATATATACTTAATAGGTATGTTTTCACTCATAAAATGGTTGGAACTAGAAAATCCCAAAGAAACATTCAACTTGTTGTTTGTTCGGAGTTAACAAGACCAATACTTTTCTTCAGTCAGAACAAAACTAATTAAGCTGGAATATAAAAATATGAGTAAAGTTCATGGAAATAAACTCAATCACAAACACGACTTTTTTACAAATTCGGAGTAAAAATTACTTCAAATTCACTGAAAATTACACAAAATCTAAGTAACAGCAATAAGTGTCATGCCAATAACGTTTGGAATCGACCAAACAATACAGTATAAATTAATTTCTTGAATAAAATCTAAAATTTTATAACCCCATAACAATATTGTAATAACCTAACTCCCACTCCATATGATCAGTGGCTTCCAAATTTCACAGCCATTATATTGTTAACAATTATTTATATTAAATTTATGAAGAGAAGAATAGTTGGGGTGTTCAGTCAAAAAGGAAGGCAAAAATAAATTATAATATTTATTTTTTACATATGTCGACGTTTCGACCTGAAGTTCAGGCCTTCATCAGGGTTAAGAAAATAACCAGATAACAAGGTATGAGAAACATAAGTAATGATGGTAAAAATGATAATAAAAAAAAAAAATAAATAAATAAAAAATTATTAGAAAAATAAAATAGATAAATATAAAGTAAAATGAAATTGTTAGAATAATGACTAAGAACTAAGAGATAAATAATAAAAACTGTTACAAAGTGTGGAATGATGAAGTAGGCATAATCAAAAGGGGGTGACAAAAGTGTTACAATGGGAATCTTAGAATAAAATGTAAAACATAAAAAAGAAATATAAAGTTATATAAGAAATGAAAATAAATAGTAAAATTAAAACATTGAGAATGGAGTAGTTAGATAGAAAATTGAGATATTGTAAAGTCTATCAAGATGTACAGACAATGTATAATATAATAAAGAGTTAAAAACAGAGAAAAGGGATGAAAGGAAGGAGGGAAGAAATTGAGAAAGCTGAAATAAGAAAGAAATAAAAGAAGTACTACCTGTCTCCTTAAGTGTCGTAGGGAGAATAAAAGTCGTTACAAGGGAGGGGGAGAGAGAAGAGATGTGTAGAGTCTACATGTCTCTCTCCACCTCCCTTGTAACGACTTTTATTCTCCCTACGACACTTAAGGAGACAGGTAGTACTTCTTTTATTTCTTTCTTATTTCAGCTTTATCAATTTCTTCCCTCCTTCCTTTCATTCCTTTTCTCTGTTTTTAACTCTTTATTATATTATACATTGTCTGTACATCTTGATAGACTTTACAATATCTCAATTTTCTATCTAACTCCTCCATTCTCCATCATTACTTATGTTTCTCATACCTTGTTATCTGGTTATTTTCTTAGCCCTGGTCGAAACGTCGGCATATGTAAAAAATAAATATTATAATTTATTTTTGCCTTCCTTTTTGACTGAACACCCCAACTATTCTTCTCTTCATTATCCACGACAGTCAACCAATTACCAATTATATATTAAATTTAATTACTAAAAGTAATTTCTACACTGTTCTCCAAATTTCCAACAGGTTTGGGTCAAAATCAAGGTGGTCCTTCAGTTGACTCAAATACAATTTTTCAAACTATAGGCTTATCAAATAACATATTTCCTGATCTGAAAGTGGAAGTATTTTTTTCTGGAGTATTAGATAGAATTTGATAATATTAATGCATATTTTATTTTACGTTTACCAATCCCTAAATTCCCTCCAAATTTGAGCCGAATCGAACTTGGGGTTTTAGAAATATAGACGTATATGAAGAAAAACACGTTTGCGCATATATAAGAGAAAGCAGCGACAGAATTCAGAAAAATTGACTCTACATTATTTGTTCACAAATACCTACCTTTTATTCAACTTTGAGCCAAATCGAACGAGCCGATTCTCAAATATTGGCATGTCTACAAAACTGCTTTTGCACGTGCGTAAGCGGAAGTGCTGATTAGAATTTAATAAAATTGATATGGGACCATCTAGACACCAACCCACACAATTCCTGAAAATTTCATGAAAATCTGATTAACGTTATCAGGTGATATGACCGTTACATCGATTTGACTACAGATAGACACCGAACCAAATTTGATCCTTGATGTCTGAAATGTAAAACATGATTGGAAATTTTCGATTCTGAGCACAAATTTTACCTCTCGCATGAATACAAGGCTTCCCTACCTTCGGTAGTGAGGAAGCAAAATTATAATTGTTAACATAATTGTAAAAAAATATAATATTCATTTTTAAGAATTCACTAGATGATTTCCCTATAACAATCCACATCTACAACATCCAGGCCCTCTTGTTTCCAAGCATGAGTGCAATTCGAGTTTTTACACTCATGCATTGGCAGAGGAGCACGAATAAACTGTGCCTTATATTCTTAGTTTATGTTGATGTAATTATAATCAAATATTAATAACTTCTGAAATTGGACTAGGTGAGACAAAATTTTTGGGACCCCTTTTTTAAAATAAAATTCAATAAATTTTTGTAATTGTTGAATATCTGAAAATTAATAAAATGAAAAATTTAAATCCAAAAATAAATTAACTAATAAGATTGGTTATCCTGATTTCGTTCATTTTAATTTTTAAATATCCTAAATACAATGAATTGATCATATAATAATTAAAAGTAAAATAAAATACATTATATTTGACTAGCAAATGATTTTAAAAACATCTAATAAGTGGCCAAATTTTAACTATATTTATTTTACCATTGTTAAACACTTTACCATTAAAAACATTTGAAATCACTTGGAAAAATACCATTATAGAGTTGAAATCCTGCAGAACATGTTCGTACACATTTTAAAGTAATACAGAAATTCAGACTTTTTGCCAATGTCACGAATTTAGCCTAACTGATCCCAGTGTGGAATGTTGGTTTTTACATTATATTTTATTTCTCATATTTTTTTGTACACTATATTTTCGTTAATTGCCCATTCTTTGTTAATTGTTCATCAAATTCAATGATTGATTCATCATTGTGAAGATTATCTTCTCTTTCAGATGGGAATAAAAATCATATCCCCCTCCTCCTGATATTTTAAGAAAAAAGTTATGGAGAAAAAGCACAAGTCAAAAAGCATACAATTTATGTTAGATTAAATTATTTGAAAGGGAAAAAGTTATTTATAATAATACCATTATTAGCCAAAATACAGATTACTGTAATTTGTACATATATTGAGGATTATTATTATTATTATGAATGAACTGTAATCAAACAAGGATAAGAAAATTAATACGCCCATCTTATAAAACATTGCCTTAACTTATTTGTTCACTGACGAATATAGTATATAAATTATTCGCACAGTCCAACTAGTTTGTTTGTGAAAATTTTAGACAAAAATAAGAAAAAGAATTAATGTAATTATTTTGCACATAACAGAATTTCTAAAAGAATTAAGAAAAGTTTAACTTAATTTTAGTGTTAATTAAAAAAAAAATTAACCAGTTACATTAATGGAACTACATTGAATTTAAAAGTTCTAAAGGTTTTTTAATCACCATTCTAATGAAAAGTATAATTAAATATCTATATTTGTTTTTATTTTAAGTTATATGATATAATAAAATGAAATGTTTTGCCAAAAGCTATAGCCAAAAAAAACATTAAAACTGTAAAATTATAACATTTGACGTGCCTTAAATATGATAACTATAATATGCCACCAAAAGTGTGATAATATGTAACAAAATAGTGAAATTGCTTACTGTGAAATTTACTTGTCTCTCAGTTACTGAATGAATGAATAAAGAATTAAGTTTCCATCCAAAAATAAAAAATGGTTCTCTGTACTTCAAAACCAACATAATTATTGCGCAGTTAAAAACTGGCTACTTTTATTTATTTAGAATGAAACATGATTCTATCATTTGAAGAATAGTTAATTAAAGAAAGAAATATAATTAACATCTTGTAAAATATTAATTCACATAAAAATTAAGAGATACTTTCATTGATTAAACAACTTTCTATGCTTAAAATAAATTTAATTCGTCTAGAGGCATAAATTTCACAATGTTGATATTTTTGAAAGAATAATTCAAGAGATGTAGGAATTTAGTTCTCCAGAGAAATATCCCTTTAAAATATTTGTTATAAATATCTTTGTTCTTCTGTAATTTGTATAAAATAAACGTTTCAATGGCCAATAAATAATTTTGATTTCTTATGCCTATTAACTATTACAATTGTTAGTGAAAAGTAACTGGTTCCCTTCTAAAAAGACACATAAGAACCAATCATTTAACATTTCAGGAAGTCAGGCATCAGGACTAAAAAACATAAAATTACTTAAATGTTCGGTCTGTACTTAAATAGTCCTTTTCACAACAACAATCTAAAAGACAAATTAAACAAATTTTTATATTTATATTGAACAGTTCTTATTTAGTTCTTCTATAGTGTCAGATTTTCATAGAGAGATTGGATTCATTGACATGGTTGGAAAAACTTGAAGGACTATTAACTTTTAAAAAGAAATGTATATGTATATATATATATATATATATATATACACATTTTATATATATATATATATATATATATATATATATATATATATATATATATATATATATATATATACATTTTATATATATGTATATATATATATATATATATATATATATATATATACACATTTTATATATATATATATATATATATATATATATATATATATATATATATATATATATATATATACATCTTAAAATTTACATAAGTAATAAAGAAACAGTAAGTAAATAAGACATAAAGACTAAATAGTTCTAGCCATTTATAAAGTTGTTTCATAGTTTGGTGAAGATTTCTATATTTCTCTAAAATAACCCAAATTTAAAAATACTTAAAATTTTCTATTCTGCAAATAAATATTCATTAACTATTAGAGAGATGACAAGTTTTTCAGTATTCAATTTTGACATTAATAATGTTGCCAATCATAAAAATTCATGGTGAAGATATTCAAATTAAATTGCTATTGAAAATTACAATAACTATAAAAATAATATAAAATCGTAAATTATGAAATCATTCATTTATAATGAAGTACTATTTTTTTTTTTTTTTTTTTAATATTGATATTTTATCTTAATTATCTTCTTTCATTATTTGGTTGCATACTGTCATACTTTTGATGGTATATTATTGACATTCTAAGACAATTATATGGCATATTTTAATTTTTTTGTTGCATATAAATCTGGATCTTATTCATAACTATAGACATAAATTTTCCTTGTTTTCATCTTTTATGATTATTCATTATGGCAAAACATTTCATTATGTTACATCATATCACTTAAAATAAAAACAAATATAGATATCTAATCACACTTTACATTAGAATGATTATTTAAAAAACAAACTCTTAAGACCTTTAAAATGTTAATAAATATTTTTAAAAATTAAGATTGGTAGATAAAATATTATAATTTCAATGTAGTTCTATTAATGAAATTGGTCAATTTTATTATTTTTTAATTAGCACCACAATTCAATAAAACTTTTCAGAATCATTATGGAAATTCTGTTATGTGCTAAATAGTTTGATTAATTCTGTTTCTTATTTTGGTTTAACATTTTCACAAAACATTTACTCTAAAAAACTCTTCTTTTTAACCAAGTAATTCAAATCAATGATAACATCACATAATTTAAGTAAACTCAAAATAATTAGCAATGCAAAAATATAAGCAATGGCTGGTAATAATTTAACATTTAAAAAAAAATCATTTTGTAACCCCTAGGATACCTTATATTAATATCTTTTAAAAATCTCTTTAAAACAGATGCTATGATAGTGCTAATTATAACGAGATTTCTGGATAAGTTTTTTTTATACAAAAAATTAACAATAATAATATTTTTGTTTATCTTTATTTTATCAAGTTTTAAGATCCTTGTACAAAGAAATTTTCATTGCTTTTTTAACTGAAAATAATAAAATAATGATGGTAATGGTTAATTTAGTGATTTTTATTAAAGCGTTTAATAAGGATACTATAACCAATGTTTCTCTTTAAAAAATACTAATTTAACAATAAACAGAATTCTATTCAATGTGAATATAATAGAAAAAAAACATATGGGGTGCAGTATACTATTTGGATATTTATAAGTAATAAAAAAAGAGACAAAAGATTAAAATTAAACAAAACAATATTAAAACAAATTTCAACCTCAAATGTTTTGAACTCCTCGTCACAAGACAACAAAACGTTGGTTCCCATTTCTTCATCTTTTTCTTCGTTATATCTTTCATGTGACATTCTGCGGGGAAGAAAAAACCATTTTTTGTGAATACCACTCCAAACTCCAGATTCATGAAGCATATACCCTGAAAACACCAACACAATTAGTGCAAAGACATCTATATGGCGTAAATAAATAACAGAATTATAACATACCCGGAAAATATATTTGAAGTTCACTCCTGAGGGATTTATAATTCTCTTTCCAATCCAGACTAACAATTTCACCATTTGCACTTATTCTTTTTACCCACATTGGATTGAAGTTTACTAACTCCCCTTGAGGAGAGGTCCATTCCTTGCCCATGCTACCAACGTATAAGTAACCATTCTTAACTGTCGCCCATTCTGCTTTAAATCCTATGAATCATACACACTAATAATGATTTCATATACAATGGATAATTCGTTTTAAAATATTTGTTTACCTTTATTTGTTTTGCCATCACCATCAGTTAGCAGCAACCATGGATAAGCATTGTCATCTTCAATAATAAAAACCAGACCAGTTCTGTCATCAAATGACAGAAGTTTCCCGTTAAATGTAACCAACTCTGATAGTTCCATACCCCTTGAATTATGACTAAATTTCGTTTTCAATGTTTTGTAATTGTTTTTATCAAAGAAAACATTTACTGTCTTTACATTTGGATTCCACACTAATGTGCCTTGAAGATAATAACTAATCCAGGTATTGGATTCTAATTTACTCTTAGATGAATGATCCATGTCAGAAACAAGCCCAATTTTATAATGAATAGTGTCTTGCATATGAACTGGTTTAGTTAAGGGATAAGTACTATCATAGTTAAAAGGCTGTACTAAAGATTGATATCCACCACTAGATCCATTAGAAAACTGGTGGTCAGAACTAATAGTGGATACTTCTTCTGTCGAATAAAAAAAATAGAGCAGCAATAAACTTATACCAGTAACAATACCTAAAAGTTGTATTTGATATTTCTGAGCATTTTTCCCGACACGATAGGAAGGTGGCGTTTTTAACGCTTTTCTCCAATCCTTAAGGGAAATAACCATCTCACCTTCCTCTGCTTTACTGAGAATCATCAATTAGTTATCTTTCAAAATACACATGTTTAAACCTTGAGGAATTAACACGCTTGCGCGGAGCCCAAAGAACATTTCATAATTAAATGTCACTCAAGGTGAAATATTCTTCAGTTGTATGTTTTCCTCAACATACTGAATCAATTTAAATACATAGATAATTTCATTCTTATGTAAGTTCAAAATAATACAATACATATAACATCATAAAGACTGAATTTAAATGAAATAAATTAATATTTTAAATTCAAAATAACAGTTAATCCAACGTAGAAGACCTACGTTGGATCAACTAGGAGTACACGAATTGTCTCACAACACGTCGTAAAAATCATTTGCATAAAAATACTGCCGATTTGATTAGGTATCGATAACAACTCTGCGTTAGTACAAGAAGTGTTAAAATATTCAAGTTGAGTAAATGTTAAGGAGGGCTCACTTCATTAGAGAAAAATGGCGGACGGTCCCCGTGACGAAAGTGGCCTGGTCTCCATCTCCTACCACGGCACGGGCGGATCTACGGGGAAGCCCCCCCTCCCAAAATGGTAAAATATAACCATGTTTTCTGGAAAAAATATTAAAAAACTATCTCTTAAAATATTATTGTTCGTGTAATTACATTTAAAAGGACTTTAGGAATCATTTAAACACTATTTAATATAGATAGTTAGTTTATTTATTTTTTTCCAAAGTAATTATCGTTATTTATATGAAAAAAAAAGCTTTCGGGCTGAAGCCCTCCCCCCAAAAATTAAATCCTGGATCCGCTAGTAACCTATGGTGACCCAAGAAGGAAGGGAACAAGTTTCCGAACTCCGCGCTGAGCTGAATGGCATTGTTTTACGTAGTTTAGGGATGGATCCAATGCCTTTGATAAGCTCAACGCTAGGTTTAGGGCTTTGTCTATGCTAAGGAAAGTAATAGGGTGCATACAAAAAAAAAAAAAAAAAAAAAAAAATGACCGTTTTATCAAATTCGATATTTAAAAGGACTGTAAATATTTTAATACTAATCAATACTTAATAATACCCTTATGGCATTCTCTATGCTTGTTTAATCTCATTGAAGAAAATTAACAGGAGAACTTATGGAAATTTTGGACTATTATAAGTGCATGAGAGGGAAGAAAGGAAAACAGGTCTAGAACATTAAGTATAATCAAGGCCAGCTTGTAACGGCAGAGAAGGAGATTCTAAAGATATGACGGAAACACTATGAGGTAAAATTTTCATTGGAAGAGCAGAGAAGTGACCGTAGTGTGAATAGATGACACCGCCCGTGGACAGTGTACATACAGCCTGAGGATATGGATGAGAGGTGGAGGATGCTGTGGCACATATCAAGCTAGACACGCGCGGTGTCTTCTATTCACACTCCGGTCACTTCTCTACTCTTCCAATGAAAATTTTCCCTCATAGTGTTTCCGTCATACCTTTAGAATCTCCTTCTCTGCCGTTGATTATCAAGCTGGCCTGATTATCATTAATGTTCTAGACCTGTTTTCCTTTCTTCCCTCTCATGCACTTCATAATAGTCCAAAATTTCCGTAAGTTCTCCTGTTAATTTTCTTCAGTGGGATTAAGCAATCATAGAGAATGCCATAAGGGTATTATTATGTATTGATTAGTATTAAAATATTTACAGTCCTTTTAAATATCGAATTTGATAAAACGGTCATTTTTTTTTTTTTTTTTTTTTGTATGCACCCTATTACTTTCCTTAGCATGGACAAAGTCCTAAACCTAGCGTTGAGCTTATCAAAGGCATTGGATCCATCCCTAAAAGATGCCGAAATAGATACCGTAGCACCAGAACTGGTTAAGTTTGGGAGATCAGCGTTGGTTAAAGCATTACAGAACCTGTTTCAAAGGATATGGAACTCTAGGGCCATACCCGAGGAATGGGAAGAAAATCTAATTATACCTGTATAGGAGAAGGGGAACCAGACCTTATGTGAAAACTACAGGCTCATATGTGTGTATATACGGTGTACACAAAGGATCCTGCAGCAGCGGCTGAGAGAATTCATTGATACTGACTCGTAAGAAAAACAAGCTGCTTTCCGGGCTTCAAGACAAACCCAGGACCATATCTTCTCTCTCAGTCGATTACGCAGAAAGCGTTGGACCAAGGTCAAAATGTTTACCTTGCCATTTTGGAGCTCAAAGCAACATTTGACTCGGTCTTCGGACAGGAAATTTGGACAGCCTTACAGAAGAAGCGGATGTCGCCGAATGCTCATTAGCACCATCCAATCAGCTTACCAGTATCCAAAAGGCGTTAGGCGTGACTGAATGAAGTCTGCTCCATTCTGATTTTTCAGAGGGGTCAAGCAAGGAGGTAGCCCACTTCTGTTTAAAATTGTCATGGGCGAGGAGTTGAAGGTATACAAGCAAAGAACACTCAGAGCAATCGTTGGATATTGCTATCGTTGGATATCAGCATATCGTTGGAATATGCTGTCCGTCCAGGCCCAGTGCTTCGTTCTGCCATAAATACTGCTACAAAAGTTGAGCATTGTTTACATCCTTTATTATTATTTAGATAATCCTTATAATCCGGGATCTACCGAAGATTTAACCACGTAATCAGCGGCAGAAGGTTTGAAAATTAAAAACAGTAGAGATGACAACCCTAATACCAAAACCCCTCGGGTCAGACGACTAACTGGAAGCGTTTGGCTTAGGTAGAATTTAAAAACCGTAGTGATCAGCAGCAGGAAAAAAACCAATTTGAATAGTTTCAAACAACTCAGTAGATATCAAATTAAAACAAGTCAGACAAAATTTTGGAAGCTTTATACGAATCTGACAGCTTTAAAAATCTCAAAAATTACATGAATCTGATTTAATAAACTGAATCTGACCAATATTTAGAAACTTTTCGAAATCATAGCACTTACTACAGGCGGGGAAGTATAACACAAAATTGCAATCCGTTGGTCCAAGAGTTTTCCCTGTTGTCTATTTGAACCTCTCTATTAGGTTTATGCACAATGTTGTTCAATCTGATAAACAAAAATCCCAAATTAATGACACACAAATCTATGTTATTATTTAACTATTAACTCCGCTACGTGTTAAGAAAATGTAGTTGTTTTTTTCATTTTATATTGCATAAAATGCTAGTTAACGATTTATATATTGTATATGATATAGTTATCTGTATCATCGACTGATAAGCAGCATCTGAAGAAATGAATGTATACGCACGTCTTCATGCCTCTAATGTACCAGTTTATGTACACTAGATCGCGGGCGGATCAACGGGGGGTGAGGGCTTTCGGGCTGAAGTCCCCCCCCCCCCAAAAATCGAAAAATATAATCATGTTTTATGGGAAAAAAATTTAAAAAATACCTCTTAAAGTATTATTGTTCGTGTAATAACATTTAAAAGTATTTAAGGAATAACTTAAACACCATTTCATATAGGTAGTTAGTTTCTTTTTTTTTTTTTCCAAAGTAATTATCGTTATTTTTATGAAAAAAAAAAGGTTTCGGGCTGAATCCTCCCCAAAATTAAATCCTCGATCCGCTAGTGCACTAGATTGTAAAAAATAATCAATAATAAAACAAAAGAGATGAGGTTTATGTTTACAAAGACGACCTTAACATTTATATCAATTACCAATTTATTGAAATTAGTTTATAAAAATTACTAGAAATAAGGTGAAAAAATCCAAGTTGTCCTCATCATCTGCGGAATCATAATCTGTTTCTTGTTCAATGTCATATTCAGTTTCATCCTCAATTTTTATGTCATTGAAATTTTATTTCAACTTCAATTTTTGTAACAGTATTTAAGGTAGAACAAATAATAATTGATAAAAAATAAGCAAATTTCAGTTTTCAGGTACATTGAATAGATTAGCAGAATATTTAAAATTGCTGTAACTTTAAACTTATAAATATAAATTAGTAAAGGATATATACCTTTAAAGAAAAAACTATATTCTATAATTTTCTTTCAGATTGTGTTTTTGTAGAACGAAAGCCTGTCGCGTTAAAAATACAAATTATACAAAAAAAACGTGAGGCTAAAATAATTTTTTTGGAAAATTGACAATTTAAGTTGGTGAATATCTCGAAAACTATAACAGATATGAAAGAAATTAATATAAAGTTTATCAGCTTTAAATTTTTAAACAAGAATGTTTTGTCTGCAAAGCCTCGTTTTCAAGATGTATGAGAAAATATGGGAAAAGTGACTTTAACGGCGCCCCCCCCCCATCAGGATGCGGAAGAGATAAGGGTGGGCTACTCTTAAGTACCCTCTTCTTGAAATTAAATACTAGTCCATCCTTCATTCACTGTACAAGCATTTTTTTGCCATTCATTGATTGGACTAATAGGGAAAAACCATTTAAATATTTGTTTTTTCCATAGTTGGTGAAATGTCGCACCGCATGTGAAATATTGGAATACGTTTCTAAACTCAGCGAGAGTTCATCTATGGCATCTTTTCGTCCAATTTATAGATGGATCCGTAGCCACCGATAAGGTCAGCGCTAAGTTTAGAAACTTACCCGTATTGACACTCCTCTAATAATTGAAAGAGCTTCAGTAAATAGATAGAAAATTGATTTCAACCAGTTTGATTTACATTAATATGATTGATGCAATATTGCCCTTACATTATCAATATACAGAAGAAATTCGACATAGACTCATTAATATTTACTTGAAAGAGAATCCTAGTAAAAATAATTATTAAAGATCAGGCAACATTGACATCAGTGCACTCTGTCGTCCATCTATAGCAACTAGAAAGTTATGGCGTGCTAGAAGATACTGAAAGTGTGTTACGCTTAATTGACAGATGAAAACAAAAAACAACATTAGTGTTTTGATATTAAATAAGATTTCTATGTGTGATTAAAACTGCTTATAATTGGTAAGTCATATAATATATAAGTTTATTCGGATATTGTGTTTTTATTACGTATTCATCTGGTATTAGTCAACATAATTTTTCTTACCAAATTAATTGTTATTTTCGACGCGCTGGCTATAACTACTTGAAATCTATTATTTCAGCTATTATCGAAGTTCTTTTAGAATATATTTCATGTTACAATTTGTATAGTGACTTTTCAAATATCGTTTTATCTGATTATTGAATTAGTTATAATAATAATAATAATGAATGTGTATGGTCATAATAAAGCAAATCATTATGAAATAAAAAGTGAAAGACTAAAGTATCTAAAATGAATAAACAAGATAAAGTACAAACTATAAAATGCTAGGAAGCCTAGCTGATCAACTTTTACTGTAACTGTCTTGCAGCATTCATCATTCAGTTGGTCTGTAGTATTTTAAAAATGAAATCAATAAAGTCTTTTGAAAATTTTGTCATGCTTCTAGCCAAGTCCCCTTTTTAATGTAGTGTTTTGTATTAGCCTATTCTAATTGTATCTATACAAATATTAAGTTTCTGAAACTGGATTTTTCTATTGTTTGGGGACTT